CCCTCTGGGCAGCGCCCGCCCCACCCTCCACTCCTCAGGGGGGACCTGTCAACGTGCCCCACCCCAGCACAGCAAGTCACAGCCTTGTAATGGGCCCGTGTCTCAGGCCCTGTCTGCCCTGTGGGGTTTGGTCTCCCCCCACAAGAGGCTTTTCCAACATTTGGCGGGTCTCCACCGGGCCAAAAGCGGGGAAAAGCCGCCTCCTTCGGAAGATCCCTTGCGCCTCATAAAATGAGGAACACAGGGATGCCAAAAGAATGCACCCGCTTTTTCAGACACTCCTCCGAAAAAGCGGACACATTCCCTGGCCGAGGCAGAGTTTTTCCAGGATGCTATCCCGAAAAACGCCGCCGTGTAGACATCGCCCCAGAGTGCACCCCTGTTCACCTGTAGCTGTCAAAACGAGCCCTCTGGCACCTGAGCGAGTCTCCGATTTAGTTGGGCATACACGTTCTTGTGCAAAAACCCACTTAGATGGAAAGTTTAATGCCTAAATAAACCTGCTCGTCTTTAAGGCGTCACAGGACGCCTCATTTTATTATTTTTTAAATGTCAACAAAGCTACTCCCTGCAGAGAGGTGGTTTACGTAAGAGTGGTGGAAGATCACTTTCAGCACTCGTGCCGCAGCCATGCTTTCAGTTTAAAATCACTACTGCCGCTGCGCTTTCAACTTTTGAAGTGTAGACAAAGCCTGAGTGAAAGCAACATCTGACATTGCAATAAGTGAGAGAAAGTTTGGTGGCTTTGGGGGACAATTTTTGGACTGATGAAAGGATGAGGCAGTGGGAAATCCTGTGGCACCTGAAAGACTAACACATTTCCTTGGGCATAAGTGAGCCCACAAAAGCTTGTGCCCAAAGAAATGTTAGTCTTTCAGTGTCGTAGGACTCTTAATTTTTGCAGCTACAAACCAAGAAGTTTACCTCTCTATGGGTACGTCTAGACTACAGGGTTTTGTTGACAGAAGTTTTGTCGACAAATACTGTCGACAAAGCTTCTGTCGACAAAGAGCATCTAGACTACATCCAGTTCTGTCGACAAAGCAAGCCACTTTGTCAACATAACAGTGTGGACGCAAAGGACAAAGTAGATGCAATAATGCCTTCTATCGACAGACCTCTGTCAACAAAAGGCGTTATTCCTCGTAGAATGAGGTTTACATACGTCGACAAAACTGCTGAGTTTTGTCTACATTATGTCGACATAACTCAAAGGCAGTGTGGACGCAGGTATAGTTTTGTCAACAAAAGTCCACTTTTGTCGACAAAACCCTGTAGTCTAGACACACCCTACAAGTCACCATTTGTTTGTAAGTTAGAATGCGCATCTGTTACATTATCCTTGTCCAACCCTGTTCCATGGCTTCATTAAAGATCTATGCCTATCCTTCTGGCATGGATTCCTAAGCCTAGCAAGCCAAATCATACTAACTGATAGGCATAAGGGGGCCTATGTTACCTGGCAATCTACAGACCTGGTAGAAATGGAGTTTTGGTCCAAACAGTTGCTATCTCTGAAAGCATTCTATTCCCCCTTAGGAAAGATTCAGCAGCCACCATGTTTCTATAGGCACATGTAGCTTTTGTTCATTTTAATATTATGCATCTCCTATAGGTCTTTAGATCAAATTTTGGAAGCAATTTAGTAGTTGCCACTGATATGCCACTCCTTTATTACAATTATATAGCATAGTAAGCCTGCCTGCCCTCCCCTCATGATTTTTTTTTTAAATGGAGAGAAATATACAGCAGTCTCTACCATCTATCAAACAAAAGAGGTATATAGTTCTTGTTTTTTTAACCACAAGTACAGATAACCATTAGGTAAAATCAACTGCCACCTAGCCCTCTAACAAATGATAAATGTGTTCATATCATGAAAATTTACCAGCTCTAAATAAATTAATATAAAAAAGGAACAACTCTGCCCAACCACAATACATAACAAATGCAGACTTATTTCTACTCCTGTAAGCACACACTACTACCTACAACACATGCATTTTAGCTTTCAAACCCTCAGCTGACAAACACACCACAGTCAGTAGACAGTCACTTGCCTCTTCGCTAGAACAAAACTTGGTACAATTCCGTAGCTTAGTTTCTGATGGAAAGGACAGGTTACTAAATGAGAGCATAGAGTGCTAGAACTAAGGCTTGCAGACTGTGATGCACAACAAAAACAGCTGTATGAGCAGTCTGATAGATAATACAATCAGCACTTTTTATGGCATCAGTTTAAACCCTTTTTATTTTGGATACGTAAGTTACACAATGCACCTCCACTGAGTTAAAAACTCAGCAACTCTGTATAACAGAATGCCATTGCAAGGCTTATTCTTATTTCTGTGTGTAAGCAGAATGCACATGAGAAGCTAGAGAGTTACTGAAATCCAGATATTAAAATGAGCTAGGGCTTAAAATTGAGCCAGCGCTGAGCTCTAATAAATATTTTTAACCCCTTTGGAGTTTTTATAGCATAGAGTATGCGGGAAGGGGAGAGACTACAGGAAATACTCTTAGGTAAGCCCTTTTCAGGGGAAAGGCAGAAAATAAATGGTTTAAGTAAAAATTGCAATAAGTAATTTTTGTTCCTGTCTTGATAAAGGTTGCAGCATGGTATGCAAAATGTTGCCAGTTGATGAGAAACAACTAAGTCTATCCTCAATAATATGAATGAAAACGTAAACTTCTTGTATATTTCTCTCACACACACACGGTCATGATGTCAAGACTAGATTTTTGTACTGTAAGAATCCTTTGTCCACTTCCCTCTTCCACCAGGAAAAAAAAGGGGGGGGGGAGAGACTGTAACTAAGCAGATAAGTGTTTTCAAGAAATTGCTAACCTCCTGTGTAATGACCTAAAAAGTCTCTGGGTATGTCTACACTACAGTGTCATTTCAAAATAACGTTAGAAATAGTTATTTCGAAACAGCTATTTTGAAATAATGCATCCACACTGAGTGGACTTTGAATTGCATTTAAGG